TGCCTCGGAAAACCACTTGCCGCATTCACTTGCTCAATGGGCTCCTCTTGACGAGTTGGGCACATATCGGTTGGATGCCCTACTACCGAACAAATCCCACAAGCCTTCACCATTTGCATATTACCTGCAGCCATTTGACGAACAAGAGAAGTTAGACTCGCAATTTGTTGTTCAAGGGAAGAGAGATTTACCTCATTAACATGCTTTGATGGAGGGTCAAGCCTAGAGCCGAATTGTTGAGAATTGGCCGCCATATTTGCAATCAAGTTTCTTGCGGCCTCGGAAGTTTTGTCCACTAAAGCTCCTCCACTAGCAGCATCAATCATGCTCCTATCAGTTGGTTGAAGACCCTCATAGAAATATTGGATGAGTAGCTACTCACTAATTTGATGATGGGGGCAGTTTGCACATAATTTTTTAAAACGTTCCCAGTATTCATGTAGGGACTCCCTGTTGTACTGCCTTACACCATAAATTTCTTTTCTAATGTTGGCCGCCCTTGAAGCTAGGAAATATTTCTCTAAACATAGCTTCTTCATCTTGTTCCATGTGGTAATACTCCCGGAGGGTAGATAATAGAGCCAATCCTTAGCCGAATCCTTAAAAAAAAACGGAAAGGCTCTTAATTTAATTTGTTCTTCAGTCACCCCCGTGGGTTTCATACTCGTGCATACCACATGAAGCTCCTTCAAATGCTTGTGAGGATCCTCACCTGCAAGACCATGAAAAGTGGGCAAGAGATGTATCAGTCCAGATTTTAATTCAAAAGTAGCATCAACATCTAAAGTAGGAAATGTTATGCATAAGTGTTGTTGATTCAAATCAGGGGCGGCAAGCTCTTTCAAAGTTCGATTTCCATCCATGATTTCCTCCACTCTCAAATCAGAACCACTAACAGATAGGGAATCAAGAGCTAGATCGTTCTCTTTAGAAATATTCCTAGATTCCCTCCTTAACCTATGCAAAGTTCCCTCTATTTCTGGATCGTACGGCAAATCACCTTGCTTAGAAAATCGAGTTACAGGCACAAATCAAGGAAACCCTAATAAACCATGAACGACATATCAAGAAAAATCTAAAGTGATGAAAATAAATAAATAAATAAAACAGAAAAAGTTCTATGCTAAAACACAAACAATCGAAGTGATCTTTATTTTTTTTTCAAAAGATTCAAGAACGAAACAATGATCATAGTACAAAAACCGATTAGAAAAGCTCATCGGTAACGGCGCCAAAATTTGGCGTGCTATCATAGGCATCAAAAAATAAAACCTATACTCCTAAAAATAAATGCAGTAGTGCGAGTAAGGATTGTTCCCACAGAGAGTATCTACCCTAGTTTGTGTGTTGCGTGAACAATGATGGAGGGGGGGTTTGTATGTAACAAAAGCCAGAATTAAAAAGAAAGAAAACCAAACGAAAAGCAATGCAAATCAAGGTACTGAAATTAATCAAAAGAACGAGTCTTGGTTTAAGTCAATATCCACCATCAGAATTTCACTACTACTCATCAATGCAAAGATATATCAATTCAGACTTTGAATATTCATCATAGGAATTAATGAAGGGATGAGAGATCCATCATATGGATGGACGAACCCTGCAGGTAGGTTGGGCGAAATTTCAAAAATTTCTTTCTCTCCCATGTGGGAATCACATTCCCTACTTTAGAAAACTGCATTTTCAAGGATCAATCTTGAACCCTAAACCAAACCAGATCTGAAACCAAAAGGTAGGAGAGGGATATAGCTGATATGGAGTAACAATAACTCCCAACGAAGGTGTTCACGCCTAAGGAAAATGCCAAAAACTGCTCCCACTGAAGATGACACAGCGTAGGGTGGAGCAGAATCAGTAGGTGGTTCTTCAGCAAGAACCAAACTCTTCAGCAATAATTCGATGGAGGGTGAGTGAACATGAATTCAGATAAGTTTTTCACCAAAAATTGATGTCAAGAACATTTCTTGATCGCTCTTACAGGTGGAGATCGAACTGGCTATGCCGACAGCAATAGAAGAAGGCAAGAGCAGAAAATGGCGTCAGTCTAATTGGAGTTGTCTTCTCTCTTGAATCTGTAATCTGATTGGGGTAATTGGATTTCACCCTTCTCCTCTATTTATAGCCTTAAAGAGAGGTTCTCCTAATCCCATTACGAGTTTCGTAATCCAAATCTTGTATTTGGATCTGGACTCTCTTTAAGAGATAAGGATAATCCATTATCTTATCTATAGATAAAGATCATCTCTCCTAATATAATTAGGAGTTTCCTGATCTAAATCTTTATTTGGATCTGTACTCTCTGAGTGGATAGGGACAATCCCTTATCCTATATGCTGATTTAAATCCTAGAACTGCCCCTCTTTAATTAATCATATTAAACCAGTTCAAATTGGGCTTTAGGCCCATTAAGTCCATGTGCTCACATATCCTCCAAACTGCTACCCAGTTGAGTATTCTTGTATGGAGTGAGACCCAAACATTGATCTACACATCAGCCACACGGGTTCAGCCCAACGTCTGTTACAAGGCCTGGCCGAATTCATTGTAGGAGACAGTGAACCCCTGAGTCCATCACCATGGGCTCTTAATGGGCCCAACATTTACACTAAATGGTCATTGGGTCAAGCC